TTCCTGTAGGCATTAGTAGACCAAACCATTGTGGATACAAGATGTTTGTTTGTTATCTTTTACCTCATCCATTGTTTACCTGTTAAAATGATAGAATGGTAGAATACAAGCCTACATAAAAGGAAATCACAAGAACGAATCCCGCCTTGCCATTGATAAAACCTGAGGTTTAGTTAAACCAGGTAGAGCGACGTTGACAGACAAATCGTTACTGATTATCGAATTTAATATTAAAATACAGGTTATGTATTACTCAGTGCTTATTTTATGCGAGTGATACATTTCAAAACGACGAAATTAACATGAAAACAAAAGCTGCAATGTATCTTAGTCAAACGATAATCATAATCCGTTTGATCAAAGGTCGGCGCCTGAACGTCATAAATGCAACTATGACTAAAGATTACGACCGACCGTCGCTACTCAAAATCTCATCAGCCCCACGTGAAATTGACGGCAATAGCGAGGCGTTAGTGTTCCAAATACCCTAACGACATAATGTAGTTTTCAATTCCGTTATAGGACCTGGTTAGAAATCCCGTCTATTGAGAAAACTAGACATTGCGTGGAAAGTGTGGTTGGAATAGTATTGCTTTCCTCTTAAAGCAACGTGGAATAATTTTGATCAATAAAATCTTTCGACTCTTATGCCCTGTTGCCAGAAAATTGTGTGTGTGGCATTTTATGAACATGTAACAATTTTCCGACTGAGCGAGTTGTAATTTTCATTTTCAAGCTCGATTACTTTTGAGAGGAAACAACAAAACGGAACGCGCATGTTATGAGATTTAGGGGGAGTAAGGTTTAGTTTAGTTTTGAGAGGTATTTGTAATAAAACTACAAAATTTTGATAGCGATTTACATATTTATAAACATGATTTAACATACCGGTGAAAGTAACATGGTTATCGCCATTTCCTGTGTTTTCTCAAACAATGGGTTACATTAATATAAACACATAAAAACCAACCAACAACTAAATATACATGTCATGCTTTTGTGAAGGTAACAGCCTGACATTAAATCGTCTATGTCTATGGGCCACTAACTGTGTTTACATTCTTCGAGCGATTCATATCAGAAATCCACGCTTACAAACCTTGAATATCCAGTTAAATGCTAATTCAGCACTTCAACTTATGATATAATATAATATAAATAAAATGTGACATGGCGTTGAAGACTTAGAGAGCAAAACAGAGTGAACATCTTAAGGTAAATGTCAGAAGTCAGATGTCAATATCACCTCTGTCTTATCTAAATGGTGTTTATTTCACGTGTTATAGACTTTTGATCACGTGTGATAATATCAAACTTCACAGTAACCGAGGTTCAGTCTTTCTAAGATTCTCCCTTTTAATAGGGTTTCTTCTGAAAGATATATCATGACTTCAATCGGTACACGCCCAAGTAAATAATTTGCCCAAATTATTGTTGAGTGTAACACAACCTTACTCTTAGAGGTTGCAGTGAGCTATTTGAAATCTACAAAGATGAAACGCTTCGCAAGGTCAGATGCCGAGCTGAAATTAAACAGACCCATTCCGTTTCTATTTGTTCTGTTATTTCCTCTTTTGATGACGGTATATTCCACATCCCTGAGTTAGGATCTCTCGTTTTGCCGACACTTCTCCTTAGACTGGCTGTTTGTCAAACGCTTTTTTCTTCATTTACCCGTTCATCGGTATAACGAAAAACACAAAATCAAGCACTATTAAAAAACTACAAGCGGAAAGTGTGAAAAGAAATTAAATTGCAGAATACGGACTGGATATCCCGATTAAAAAGCTATAAATTCTATGGTCCCTTTACATAAATTGCATTTGCATTAATATTCGTTACAACGAGGTGAGAGGACAGAGGATTCGCCAAACTGTATAGTGAAGAACGTTTAAGTAGCTGCAATCGATTATGTTACAGTTGTGATAATTAAAACAACCCTGGCTGCTTTCAGGATCCTAATAATGTTTTAAAAGGTGAAATTGTATCATGTGGTGATTGATACGAAAATGAAGAGATTAATTGGTCCGATAACACGAATCCATGAACTAATTTATAAACTCACACTGAAATTGCTGCTAAGTCAGTGACATCACTTTTTCATGCAGACACATATCAAAGTGTTACACGGATTGATGATGACTAACGAAATCAACATAATTTTGTACAATGAAATGAATTTAATTCCAAAATGAAAATTATTTTGTCACTATAATTTATACGGTGGGAAAAATCTCATATTCCAATTCCATAGAGTAATTGTGTGCAATGTTATCTATGAATGAATTAGGGAGTACATATATCTTTTTCCTATCCCAAAGACAACAGATGTAAAATTATAGTCATTTTGCATGCGAGGACACAGTCATGATGGGAATACGATGGAAATAGACCCAATAAATTTCTCTCTCCGACGCCTATCGCGATCATTCGATAACACGCGCGCTAAAAAACCTTGTTGATTTCACACCGGTCCAAACAAATATATTACCCTTTATATATTCCCGTGACTACAATGTTGTGGATTAAACGGATATATCGGACCAATAACATGTCATGTAGCTGGACCTGGACCATGGCATACTAGTTAGATATAGATATTTATTTTATGGGATTCGAGGTTGTTTCGCGACAAATGGGAAACATAAAAACGGATTTACGTATCACTTGCAGCGGCGAGGCGTGTTTTCAAGCATTGATTCTCGATCGTAAAGATTGCCTTCCCCAGTTAAATCTTTAGACGTCTTTTAACCCCACCATGCTTAATAGACTGTTTATTTCTCATCTCCATGATCATAAATCTGGGCTTGAACAAGACTGATAGCGAGCGATCGGCGTGATGTGCCATTGCAAATGCTCGTGCTCGACGCTCATTGCTATGGATGTCGATTTCATGATGTCGATGGAGCTTGTGGATGTTGTTTACTGGTCGTCTCCATCCATAAATATAGACGGAGGGTATTGGAGGGATAGCTGGCTTGAGGAGTCTAATAAATGAATTATCACATCGTATTCACGCCATGGAGGTTATAATGAGTTATATCGCCATTGTCAATTTCACAATGTTTATATAGCAGCGCAGAAATTTATTCATGAAATTGACGCCATGGTATGCTCATTTCACAATCTCGGTTTCGATATCATTCACATATTGACACAGTGCTGTAGTCTCCGTTGTTGTGGTAGAGAGTATTATATAACAGTATATTGTTATGTTCATTTGTTAATGATTTCAATACATAAGGAACACCTCGTTAGCATATATATTTGTAAATGCATGTACCATTAGTCGTCGTTTTTTCACACACTTCAATATGATATTTGTTATTATTCATATTGTTTAATTTCTTTCCAACTAAATACATCATATATTTGATTAACAAAACAGAATACGGTGTAAGTTCTTTTTCAAGCTTGCGCGCGTTTCAGAAGCTGAAATCAGGACATATTTTAGCCCGAGGCATGTTCCTGTTTACAAATGTCAACATAATTAATGATGTTTTTTACACGGCCCCGCTGCTTTGATTGTTTCCAGTTCTCTTTAAATACATGTTTCTCGCTCCATTTGAAAAGGGTTTGTTTCTGAGTATAATTATGTAATAACGCTGTTTTCTTTATAAATATTGTCAATAGCGTATGGCGTTTCCATGCTGATGAACGTACTAATATGCATGTCTATTTATGTAGTCTTGCTAAGTGCTTTGCCATATTTATCTGAACAAAATGCATAACCTCTGCCGATGATGTATGTTTTATTTGATTGAAATCAATCGTTACATTTATAAGCAAGACTTTGAGTTAAATGTGAATTCGAAAGATCATATATCTTCCCTAGCGTGTCAGACGGAATATATATTCAACTATGACATTTTGTTTAATGTTATTTTATATCAAAGAATTGGGTTTCACACACAAAACTTAAACATACACATCACGTATTAAATATTTACTCTTGGAAATATCTTAACGACTCCTTATCATATAGATGCAGTCATTCAGGCGGATGTATTTGGAATATGAAATTTGGTTTAAAAAATTGTCCATGTGTAAGATTGAAATAATGGAGTCTGACATGGAATGATGTTTACACGGATGAAACCAGTTCATGAAAAGTTTTATGATAAATACAAATATGTGTCGGTAAGGACAGGGGATATATTTTATTTCTGATGTCGTCATCAACATTGTGCACCGGACAAGAGTCTTTTTGCTATCGTCGTTGATTTACGACAGTGAATAGGGCCTTCATGTCAGCACCATTTGTATAGTTTTACGGAAAGTTAAAACTTCCGAGTCTCTCTTATGATCATTATCAAACAATTATAGACTTGAATTTCAAACTGCTAGTAAGGGGTACATTTTGTCACACGTAAACGACAGTTTAAATTTACGATTGGCAGCCACGTTAAAATTTCAGTTTTCTATTCAAGTGCTTCTGACAACATTTGTCTATGCATATTTATGTTTAGTTTGGATCACTTGGGTAAATATTAAATCAATATTTCGTTTATAACACTATAACATTGTATATTTCAGCAACGATGGATTTTCACCTTTTCAATTTCGTCTGAAGATAATCAGTGTCACTTATTTCACAACTCATTATTCTAAGGTAATAATTGTATATTTCAGCTACGTGGGTAGATTTTGAACGACACCATGTCAATTTCGCCTGACGATAATCAGTGACACATATTTCAAAACGTGAAGGGGCTTGTGAAATGTACATATGTTGTGATATGTGATATGTACATCCAGTGTTGTCAATGTCAGTCAATCATGAAAGAAATCTACAAATTCCACAGATATCGCCTCACGACACTAAGAGCTGAGTCTCCTTAAACAGATTCGAGCAGTGAACAATACCACGGAAATAGACATACTCCATTTACATAAATCCGGAAAAGTACCACCAGTGATAGTATCTAGCGGTGTTTCATTTCACAAACAGGTGTACAGTCTCAACATAATAAATATACAAGAAAGCAAAATCTACATACCTGAGCTGTATTGCATTCGTCGCATCCACGGGTATATCTGGGGTGGGGGGAAGTTCTCCGACCTGTGGCTCGGGTTTTGATTGTGTTGATTCTGTCCTGGGGGGTGCGGCGACGGTTGCTGTGGGGACTGGGTTTCATGTCTTGAGGTGGGTGAGCCAGTGGAATGAGCAGAATTGGGCCGGCTGTCATCAAGACTTGTGTTAAGCTGACCGTTTGGGAAATACCCCCCGTTCGAAGCAGATGAATTACTCCGGAGATCACAATTGCGATCGGAAGTGTTCATGGGTACAGCATTGTGGTTTGAGGATTGTATGTGGGGTGGGGACGAACAAGGACTGGATGCCGGGAGGTGAGTGAGGCGAGGGGTGGTATAAAAGTCGCCATTTTGCTGGTCTGTTATCCTGTCGCCCCGGTTAGCACTGTAAGGGTAACGGGTCCCGGCAAAACTGGAATAAACACTGCCGGTGGAGTGATAATTGGCATTCCGCTCGAAATTCCCGTCCGAGCAATTGTCTAACCCGGCTGTTTGTCCATAGCATGTTGAAAGCGAGTTTACGAAGTAAGAACTCATCTGAATCGAATAATATAAGATCGTAAACCTGTCCTTAGCGTCAAGCGATGTTGCGCTTAGAATGAATTATGATGATTCGCTCGTACGCTTTGATTTCACGGTGGAACAGGGTTGTCGCACTGAAACGAAACCAAAGAAGAGTCACGTGACTGGGGCAGCCAATGAAATAGCAAAGTGGATTGAGCGAGGTGAGAATGTCATGGAAAAAGGATTTGAATATGGCTAGTGCGTTAATGCTTCCGTGAACGGTCCAAATGTGAAATGAATTTAATGTTTTTATCATTAACCTAAAGAGGTGTCCCTTGACGTGGCATTTTTCATGCTTTCTCAACCTAAAATTACCTTTTGAAAGAGATTTCGTTTAGCGATGTTTTCATTGCGAGAGATACTTTCTTCATTGAAAAGAAATACATTTAAGTAAGCTTCATTCAAAAGCGTTTACACTTGATAAAACACATGTGACATTTTATGATTTTTTGTGATAACGAAATATTGCATTCATGATGAAAAATACGTACACACAACATAATAAAAGTAATTAGAACATGTGCCCATTACGGATAGTACGTTAATGCACGCGCGGATAATATTCAGTATAGAATTTCAAAAAGTCATTTCTGGTTCATTAATTTTTCAAAGTATAGAAATGTGAAAGTTCTAAAAGAGTAGATTTTATGGGCTAGCATTTCGAATGCTGAAAACGATCTATCTACCCAGATCTTAATGACAAGGACAACAACTACTTTCATTTCAAAGTGATGGCCTTTGTCTCGTCAGTGTGGCTTTCTGAAATAAATATACATACTCATCAACATGATTTCAGCACATCTCTTTGATTTATTTATCACCATTGCTTCGCCATCTACTGATTTGTCTGCGGTATGATTTTGATTGCAAAAACAGACATGTTTTAAGAGAGTTGGAAACGATCATATGTTAAGAAATAAGATCATATGTTAAGTTGTACTTAGGCATAGCACCAAGTAAAAAGGAAATTGATCGATCATGCCAGATTATGTTCGAATTGTATCGATAAACATAGTTCTAGCAACATAGTATAACTTTATTTACCTTTTATTTATTGATTGACTGAAATGAAAAATATTTCTAAACACTGTCGAAGCTGGGATGTTTTGTCCTTTTTACGCTATAGGTAAAAAATGAAAATATCGACTTATTGTGTTCTATGACAATAGCACTGCTTTCATTCTGTGCATGAATCCAGAAATCTGTTGCATAGATCTTAAATGTAACTGATACACCTCAAATATAAATCAAATAATCCCCAATCAAGCCGCAATGACTTAAGATCGCCTGAAGATAATAACATCAAAATTAATCAAAAGTTACCATTATGACTATTTTGACAAAATTCACGATTTATTAACAATTTGAGACGAGTCATTTAAATTCGCAATAACTGTAACCAAATATGAAACCGGCATTTGGCAAGAGCTGAAAATTCACATCAAGATTTAGTTAATATATCTCCGATATTGGTGAAACACGACCCAGTAATACATCATTACTATAGGACAGGCGCTTATTTACACCCCGTTGTTCATTGCACTGCTGGAAGGCTGTATAGATACGACAATGTGCTATAAACAATGTCGATTGCACACCATCGCCCCCCTTGCCGTATCTTCCCGTTGTAATTGTAGCATGGCGTTCTCCCCCCGTATAACAAGGGAATATCCAGCATGGCGCTCGCTAGGCAAGCACATGAAATGTACATCCAGTGTAATGATGTTCATTACGGAGAAGAGCGCCAACCGACTGTTATATACAATTCCCTAATGATATGTACATGTGTACGTTGAAAGGGACATCACAGCATATGAAATAGGACACCTTAAACGAAATATTTACATTATGCATTTTAACTCCTTCCCAGGAGATTTAGATATAGTGTGCTGTTTCATCAACTGTTTGTGGTTATGGATAAGGCCAATCTTCCATTTTTCCAATATGAATACAATAAATTGGATTCTAAGTGTACATATTCATGCGACACTTGAGTGATGGGGTGTATAAATATGTGTTAGCAAACGCTACCAGTATTGAAACAGTTATATACATTCTTAATATGCATAATCTTTGTACAACCATCTTAACATCTCGAACTGAGTCTACCCTCAACTCTAAACAATAACCCCATGAAACTACCCTAACCCCCAACCTAACCATAACCTCAGCGAACCATACTCGTATAGCAGAAGAAGTCCTGTTTAGGCTAGGATCTTTGCTCGGATCGAGTTAACTTCAGCACAGCGAATGAGTAAAGCTGATTTGATGGTTTAGCCTTCGTGGTATATTAGAAACTATTATGCGGTATACTCCATTCGTGCATTTCAACATAATCCCAATCTCTAAAAAAATATGTATATAATTTGCATGCCTGTGTCACTCACAAATTCACAAACACATGCTTATAATAAAGATATCATCAAAGTCACAGTTTCACCTGTCTTGATATCCTATAATTGATATCAGCAATCATACATGCTTCACTGGGATACACAGTTATAATGCAAAGTGTTTTTGTCGGTAATTAATATGCAGTTTAGATATTTGTACTAAACAGCTGGTATTCTCCAAGTTTGAATACCTCGTGCTAAAAGCGGATTAACAAACAGAAACAAAAACCTTACGCAAATAAATAATCATTGTGATGCCTGGTATTGTCCTCCGTTATGTGTTCAGATCGCTGAGTAACGTCAAGGGAATAATTGCTTGATTCCTCAACTTATCATGCATGGCTTCGTCCAGAATGTTTTTATTTCGCCTCCCATGTCGTAAATCTTGGTCTCTGTATAAACCAATTAGCGAATAGTCCATAAGGGTGAATCAACGATTGCCCTGTGATTTACAACTCCGGTCATGGAGTATCACAGAATATCACACAGTATCGCAGATTGCGTTTCTGTGATACCATCAGTCACGTGGTGTCTTAACACCGATAGTTACTAAGTATGTTTACATGTTGGTGTTGTCTGTTTCAAATGTGTCAATAATGAGGTGTCGATTGCGTGCGAATCGTGGCGGGTGTTGATAACAAGGGCGATGCTGGGGAGGGGTGGGGGACGGAGAGGGGATGACGTAGAGAGAGGGAAGACCAGTTATGCCACCAAGGGCTTCGTAACGACCACAGGTCATATTTGTCTTAGCTAATGTGTCAGAAAAGCCATTTCAATTTCATACCGGTCAAGGCCAGGCGGTTGAAATTGAGGCGATTGAATGTCCCTAGGGGACGCTGCTGTATGCTTTGAAGGGTCAGAGGGCAGATGTGATGACCAGTGACTTTCACGTGGAGGTACTGACATGATATAGTAGGGAAGCACGCCATATCACTTCAATATAGACGTATTATAAGACCTCATGACGATTGAATAAACGATTTTTGTTGCATTAATGTAATGCGTGGCGATCCCCGGTTAGAATAGTCACCAGAAACCTACACTGGTCAGACCAGGTGACCTTATGGATCCGGTGGTCAGTCTCCGTGAATAATTACGTGTCATCGTACCCGACTACGTTGACCGTTGACCACAGTATCGATCACTGGATTGTCTGATCCATACTTGATTGTTTACAGGTCCACATCATAGAGTTGGAACATTGCTAAGTGCGGCGTTGAACACAAAACAAACTTTTGACATATATAAACGCATTTTGTTGTTGTACGAAATCGATTTGTGTCAAATGCATATTCAGAAATGCTTAGGAATATTAGGTGGAAATAGTGATATCTCCATGCCCGAAAAAAACTACGTTCCGGTAGTTTAAGAGTATCAAGTATATTTCATATTGCCCTTATCAACCTTTGAGCCAAATGTCTTCCAATGTGAAAGACATCATGATGCAAGGATAGTGTGATACCATGCCAACCATTCGAATAGTTTTGCTTGTGCTAATGTCTGTGTGGACATGTTATGCAAGTATGGATTCAACGAGTATTTGAAATTCTTAAGATTATGAAGATGTTTTAGATTCTCTTCATGGCGATTTCGTTAATATATGTTGTCCTGATCTGTTTCAAATCATCACTTGTGTTTCAGGATGTATTTATTTATCTTTGCTGATGTGGAACATGGTAAATGTATTATTGATGTCGAATTCCATTTCCAAGCCATCATCATGTGTTTTTGTCGTGTTAAGATTATACATGATATGTTTTAAAAAGTTTCGCCATCGGTGTGTTAAAATGTTTTTCTTTACAGAGGTTAAGCAAATGAAAGTTTTCCAACTGGAATATCAACTTTGCGTTTTAAAGGGAAAAAAGGGTAGAAAAATCTCCTCTCATCATTTACATCTTTACCAAATTTCGCCATGGACCCGAAATAGTGCAGCAATGAACCTATATCATACTCAGCTTGGTTGAATGGCGGCACACGAAGGGCTGAAGTACACTCCTCACCGCGTAATTGAAATGCAATTGACGCCCATCAATTTCAAGACCAGAGATCTCTCCCTAAGAGCAGAATCTGATATAAAGCGCATCACTAGCGACATTGACAATACCCAGGCTACACGCTCTGTATGGCAACATTCAAATCAAAGTGAAATTGACTGAAATTGAAAACCCTAAACAAACCATGATGAAGCAGACACGTGCATTTATTGATGAGGCTCAATGAGAGTGTGTTGTCATTACGATATTGATGTGCTATATACAACGTAAATATAATTAAACCAAAACATGTAAATATCAAAAGAGGTGTGTACCAGAGACAACCACTTACATATCTAAAAAAATCGTTATGATATGTTATAATGTTCCTCCTGAAAGAAGTTAAGACTTTCATATTACAAGTTAATATGTCTTCCACATAATCGATTTCGTTGAACAGGTAAACCTGTATTTCACATAACACCTCGGTTTTGTTCTTCATTATTGCAACTTTTCCTAGGTTGGGTGGTCGTTCCTAGTATATAACAGCTGTTTTGTTTTGTTTTTAAATAAAAAAAGAACATTCGTGTTTTCCTGCATTTCCAATATATTCTCATACGTATGACGTGAAGCGAACTTGAAATAAAACAACAACAATCTTTTTGAATTAATGACTAATTACAACTGACAAATACTGGCTGGCATTCTAATCACCCGTTCTGCAAA